TGCAGGGAGGAAACTCAAAACCATGGTCAGGCAGGTGAAGGCTGAAGGTGGGAAACTCGATAGAACAGTTCATATCAAGGGAAAAACCACAAGGAGAGGAGACAAAGTCGTGAAGGCAAACATGTTATGAGTATATATGTTGAAAAACACCTGGAAATCAGTGCTCCAAGTCTCCAGGTCGTTGGTTTTCATGGAATTTGGCACAGGATAAGGGGTTAACAGTACAGTAGCCGGTTGCCAAGGCTCTGCTAACTGCTGTAACAAGAATAGCTGGGAACACATGACTTTAAACCACCTCATTGTGTTGTACAATAATAATAACAACTATTGCTTCTTTGTACTATTCATATTCTCCTTTGCGATTATGGTAATTAATTTATTAGTTAATACTGAACAAATCCTACTAAAGCTAACAGGAACAGACAGATGGAGGGCTTTGATGCCCTGAGAACCTTCACCAGAGTGGAATGGGACCATGTCAGGTGCCGCTGTGTCGGTTTGCTTTACTGCTCATGGAGCCTGTGAGGGAGCCTGTGCTCTTGATCTAATGACACACCAGGAGAAATTATACCTCACGTTAATTATGGAGCTGAACAACCTGTGGCAGGCAGCCCATCAGGGTAAACAGGGAAATGAAGCAGTGGCTAAATTATTAAGACAGAAGCTATAGTTCAGTCCACTGCTTTTGATCTTTATGCCAGTGTAATGGACTTTTTTAAGGGGATGCATTGACTTTTCAGGCTGAGGTCATGAAAGAAGAACTTGGAGGCATAATAGGAACCTGAGAGAGGGTTAGTTCCATGTTGAGGATTATCAGGGACTTTTCCAAAGAATGTGGAAAAAATGCCTTCAGCTAATTGTTAGGAAAGGTGCAGAATGGAAAATAGAAGAGATAAAGATAAAGAGATACTCTGCTCTCCTCCCCACTAATAGCTGATGTGTGGTGAGCGTTCTGGCGCACTATGGCTGCCGTCGCATCATCCAGGTGGATGCTGCGCATTGGTGGTGGTTGAGGGGAGTCCCCTTTACCTATAAAGCGCTTTGAGTGGAGTGTCCAGAAAAGCGCCATATAAGGATTAGCAGTTATTATTATTATTATTATTATTATTATTAGTATTATTATTATTAGTATTATTATTATTATTATTATTATTATTATAAAAATAGGATTACCCAAGAGGTGGTGCACAAGGCTTTAGCTGTCCAGGAGTACCTTGCAGAAATGCAGCTTCTGGTATCTGCAGTGTATTTCCAGGCTGGCAGTGAGAGATGTGCTGTTCTTGCCGTTAGCACTAGGTACATACAGAATACCTTGTTGGTGAGAAACTTACTTTAAAAAATAGATCAAGAGGTGTTAGGCACGAAAATGTATTCCTGGGTACCAGCATTCTCTACTTTTGTCTGGCATATCTGAAGTTTTTAGAGAACAGATATGTCTTATAAGAGAGGGATAATTCCAGTTCTGTTCGTCTAACAGTAGAGCCAGTGTTAACTTTAACAGAGAGGAAAAAGAATGATTTGGGGGGAAAAAAACATAACATGATATTATTAAATATGAAAAGGTCATGGGTTGTTCTTATGGGTAGATATGGAATATATTTATAGCCAATTTGAATAATAATTTGAGCACATATGAGCTAATAATTATTATGTTGCAAACTGCAAGTTAAGTTTAATCAGAAGGTTTTATTACAAAATTACCTTTTTATTTTGATTTTTTGAAGATGTTTCTTATACCCCAAGCCTCTGGTTCTTCTTTGTGCTACTGTATAATTTTAGATTTCGTAACGTGTTCAATGCATTGCTAGGAATCTGATCGCATTAAATTTTGCTGTCTGAAGTAGGCATTTCAGTGTTTATACAGAGAGTATACACAAAGGTCAGTTACATAATGATTTAGCATTCACTTTTCTAATTTAGTAAAGGGCAGATGTGTAAGCAACATAATCATTATCTAATGAACCGTGGTATTAATTAACCTGAATATACTGTACACACAAAGGAAACGATTAAGTTACCAAAGGTTGATCGTCTTTCCTTTTTTCCTTGAAACGAACAGGATCTTATTAGTAAACCTTTCACAAACTGTGCACATCTCTACCATTATTTCTCACCAATGTACCCAGCTCTAAAATCTCTAATTAGCAGTATATTGTAGGTAGACCTTTTCTACATTTTTTAAATACTGGAATGCGTCATCAAAGTTTGAAAGATTTCAGTATAGAAAATATATAAATTCCCAGTGATTTGCCTTCATTAAATGTTAGAGGTTGTTTATGTGTGCTATAGTCAAATGGAAAGGGAATTAAAACAGTGGCATTAATATGCAATTACACCACATAATGAAATAACAGAAATTCATAGGACTGGCTGATTATATCATTAAAGAATGAGGCCCCTGGTAAATACTGCTTTATTAACGTGCAATTACCATGTCTGATAAACAATTTGAAATGGTATGTCAGGCAGTATTATTGAGGTTTCAGAACAGTGGTTCTGTCAGGAAATGTGTTTGCTCCCCCCACCTCTGCTCCCCCAGCATAGGAGTTCCTCTTTGAGTGCCCTGGCTGTAAGTTGCAGTGGTTTCCCCCCATGAATCACCCATGCAGATGAAAGGAGGTCTGCAAGGCAGTGTGCACAGCTGGTTGCACAAATAGCTCTGCTTAAAACTGCACAAAAAGAAGAAAAAAGGCAAAATCGAACACTTCACAGAATTTCCTGACATTTGTTTCTCATCAGTGCAAAAGCAGCAGTATGAGGCAAAAAGAAGAAATACAGACTGAGAGGAACCTTCTGCGGAGAGGGAAGTCCAAGGGCTTCTTCTAGGCCCAAAAGGCCATGGCTGTTCCTGCGTTTATGTGGGTTCAGAGGTCAAGATGCTGCATTCCTTTGGGGGAAATAGCGGGCAAGTGTGAAAAGATGAAAAACAGTGAAAAAAAAATAGTGACTTACTGTACCACACTGCAATTACCATACCAAGCCCCTTGCCGCTGCTGGCTTTCCTCCATATCTGCTGAATGGATGGAGTCTTATATATAGACAATATAAGTTATTCATACTGCATACAAAGACTCTTATCATGACAAGCATCTAGTTCCAGCCAACATCCAAGCTCTTTTTTCGGTATAAGAAGCCATCAGCAATGGAACAGCACAGTTTCACTTTGGCTTTTTAGATTGGGCAGTGCAAGCTTGCACACTTGGAAGAGACTAATAAGAGTACAGCAATGACAATAACATCAATTCAGATACATTAAGTTGCATGGTATCATTAATTAAAATACTTTTGAAAAGTTTGATTTGCAGGAAAAATGTTTGAAGGGCTAAGTACCTCAGCCCAAAGCTATATCAGTTTTGGCAATAGTATTTTGAGAATCAGTGTCCCTGAGTTACCATCTGCTGTTCCTGTTCACAAAAGCTTCAGTCTAGTTTCCATTACCTCCCCAAGTGAGCGATAAACTTAAGCTTTCTGCTCCTCATTAGTGGTGAGAGTATTTGGAGCAAGGTCTTCTGAATTGCCCAGAGACGCCTAGAATGTCAGGGTGGTTTATTCTAATTCACATAATCTGTTTGCTGGGCGCGGTTTCACGTGAGCTATCATTTATTCTAAATCACCTGATTGTGGGCATATGGCATGTTTGTGTTTTTTTAATGACGCCTATTTTGTGTATAAAATGTTTACAATGTAAGCGTAAAACAAGAGATGACAATCATTCTTCTCTAGGTCTTTTGATTTTCAGATATTTACAACAAGGTCCATGTTAATATTGTACAGAAATACCAAAATTTGCCTTTCCTTTGTTTTCTAAAGGGAAGTACTGTATGTTAGTTTTCTGCTTAAAAGGCAAAGAATGGTTCTATTTACAACAAGTATAGTGCTCTTTAATTTTGCAGTACCATAAGGCAAAACAGAGTTTTAACTGCAGTTAGAAAAAATAATAACAGTTTGTAGAAACTGTGGTCTAAGCAGTTTTAGCATTTATCTATGTTGGTTCTATCCATAAAGAATAATCTAATTAGTTTTGAAAGTAATCCGTTTTCATTCTTTTTTTTCTTAAAAGAGTTCAATCTCCCTTATAACTGAAAGTGCAAAATTCTAGAATGCAATGAAATAGGCACATATTATGAGCTCAAGGTATTTAATCTAAAGAACAAGCTAGTAACAGCGCTTGATTATTATGCCTTTTTTATTTTAACTTGGAAGGCAGTATTTTTTCTGTATTTTAACTTTTATAGCTACAGCATATATTTTTTTTTCCTACAAAAGCTTTTGTTAAAATAGCATGAGTGGTGACAGAAACTATTGAAAATTAGTTTGTGTTTTTCACAGTAATTGTTCATTCTTGAACTATCAATCTATCAAAGCCTTATTTCTGTTTATCTGTATAGGCATTACTTTGTGTCTCAAGGCACTTTAACAAAAGTCAACTAGATTTCTCCCTGCTTCCCGTGTTTGTATTCTGACATGAATTTTGTGGACATTTTTTTGTATATAACACATTTGTGCTGAATTCAGTCTGGTTTCCTATATTGTTCTTCAATGTTAAAAACCTAAAGGGTTGGTTTAATGGTTTCTACCAGTGCCAGGATCACCTACATAATGCCTTCTTTCAGTGGTTAGACCTCCATGGGCAATCATATATAAGACATCTGTTGTCCTAATGTGGTAAAGTCTTCTAATAGTAAAATCTACCAAAAACACTCTCCAGAAAAATAAAAGAATCATCTAGTTTTTCATCTAGTTAATTATCTTTTATTTCCATATCCAAAATAAGAATATCACCTATAGTTTGAATCTTGCTCTTCATAATGCACAAAGCATATACAGTATTACTGTGTTTGTGTCTGCTTAGTTTTGTCAAACTTTGACATATATAATATTGCCTTTGTACCATGACTTGCTCATTTTTGTTACATTTTTGTCAGATGTTCATGCCTGGTCACGAAACAGGTTGCTCAGTTGTTTCCAAAGTCATGGTTCTCTTCATTGTTTTTTTATAGGAAGGGACACCAGCTGCCCGGGAAGTCCTCTGGGACAGGGGCTGACAGATCAGGCAGCACAAGAAATGGGTCTGGAGGCGGGCACAGCTGTGGCTGCCTCTCTCATCGACGCTCATGCAGGAGGATTAGGTAACCGGAGAGCCAGTCCCACTGGCCTGAGGCTGTGGGGGATCATTACCTGGCTCAGTTTAATCAGCCTGGCATAAATGGCATCTCTTCATGTCTCTAGGCACCAAAGATGAAACTGATCTGTACTGTACAAAAGGTAGGGGTTAATACAAGGCAAGGCTGGAGATACTATTTTACATTCTTAGATGTTTTAAGAATTTTCATCATTTTTCATTAGAGATTTCTTTAACATACATTTGTTTTTTATAGCCCCTTAGTCTGTTGCAATTGTTTGAGAAAAGGTTTTAGATACAGGGAGAATGAGTACGTGTTTCTTATTGGGTTTAAACCAAAGAGTGGAGAATAGGATTACAGGCTTTGTACAGCTCATATTACAACTCAAAGCAACATCTTCAACACTGTTTTGTAATTTCAGTTTTAAATGGTGGTAAATAGTATTTCATGCTAAATTCTAGAGCCTTTACAAATACTTTCTTGAGAGTGTGGAGAGTATGGACTGTGAATGCAGAAAACTTTCAATAATGCAGTAGATTTAAAATCAATAGATGTTTATTGGTAAAGTATTGTATTAGCATATTTTGTTCACTGGTTTGAAACAGCTTGGGAGAGTACCAAAAATCATTTACAGCTCTGTGATTGGTTAGATTTTACAATCATGCCTTGGAGGCTTAAATGTCGCCCTCAGAATGTATCCGGGGCTTGAAATTGTACTTTAGGTGCCAGCCCCAAAGTGCTATGGCTTTGTACCAACAGGGGGATTTCCATTCAGTAGTGTGGCTTAAGCAGAGTGGTAACATATATATATATAGTAATTGCTTATATAAGGACATTTTAAAGGACTATATAAGGGTTTCATATAAGGTACTTTTCTTTTGCGCATGTTAATGGATGGGTTGGACATGGTGCTGTGTTTGCCAGTTTCTGTTGGTTAGACTGCTGCAGTATTGGAAATGCCATTGCGGCAGACATGGGAAACATTAAAGGTGGCTTATTGGCAGCCATGTGGAGCCCGACATCTGCAAAGGGAAGCCACATGGAGAAACACAAGGAAACTTTCCTGGATCAATGGGAGTTTGTCCCTTTGATACTACAGTAAAAATATACTGAGATGTTGAAATTTTGCATCAGTCAACTTTCTGTAAATACTTTATTGTTCATCAGTGTGAAGCAGAGCCTAACCTTGCAGGCAAATGGTGGGTCTACAGATAGATGGAAATGAAGCCATTAAAGTGCACACACATTAGGGTGAATCATACTGTAGATGCCAAATATACTGGATAGATCACCTGGACAAAACCCACATTAACTCCATACAGAACATGCCCCAGTCCAGAAGTGAACCCTGGACTCAAGAGCTGTGAGGTGGCAGCACTAACCACCATGCTGCCGCGCCTCTCCTTTTAGTTACAATATAAAAGATTTAAACTAGTATATAAAAGGAGATGTATATGTAGGTTAAAGTATCACAGTTATAGATAGTTTTATATCTAATGTATGTATCATAACTTTGCATTTTTATATACAAAGTACTGCATATAATATATATATATACAAAAACCTTATATAAAAACAAATACTGTACATCAATTAAACATGTTTGGACAGTGTGGTCTAGTCCAGTTGGTCCCAGCCCTGGTCCTGTAGGAATACCATGTCTTCTGGGTTTTGCTCCAGCTCACTTCTTAAAAGCTAAAAGCAATTTGTAATTGGTTATCAACCCTGTACCAATTTCTGAGTTTCAGAACTGTCCTCATTCAGATGTGCTATTTGAAATGTAACCAATTAGTTGAAAAAAGCCTCATTGTGAGAGTGTTAATTATTTAACTAGTTAGCTCTTTAATCAGAAATAAAGGTAGGAAAGTTGAGGAGAATCTTAAATCCTGTGTGGTGGAGTTATTGGAAACAGTTATTGAAGTAGGGTATTTTGACACAACTGACCGAAGAAATAAGTTAACTAAAAGTCTAAACAAACAAGCAGATCAATTAAGTAATCAATTAGCACTAGAGATTTAGAGTTCAGCTGGAAAGAAAACTAGTAGACGCAGTTCTCCTCCAGGACCAGGATTGGGTAATATATATGTACATAGAGTCCCTAAATGGTTCTTTTTGATCTTTAAGTATATGCATCTCATTCTTGCTTTTATCATTCAGTTCCCTCTCCCACAAAATATCATTGCATGTTGCAAAGGTTTCACAAAGAGAGAGCTAGCACCTAATCTGTGTTTCAATTTCACTGGAATCCCATGTACATTTTAGCAGCAACGGCACCATTGGTGCTGTGGTTACAGTCATGGTTTTAGTAATGTAGGCTGAGTCAACAAGCTGCTACTTCCACTAGGATGTTCTCTCCCAATAACCTTCACTGCGCTCAGATACCCCCACCTCGGTGAGTCAGCATCCTCTTGCAAAGGGGCTCCCCCTGCTCCCATGGGAGCCACACCTGCTCCCCCACCAAGGAGGTGGCTGCCCCAGTACCGCTGACCAAAGCTGTGATCTTTTCAGTCTCTCATCCTTGCAGCTTTAGCACAGTGAGCACAACCTTTGAGTCTTTGATTGCTTTGATTGCTGGCAATAATAAGCATGTGCTGCATACAGTATGACACATGGGAAAGAAATTCTGTACATACCATCAGATATTCTGTACATACAACAAATGTGGCCTGCTCTCCCAGTACTTTATAAAAAATTGACTTTATTATCACTCAGAAAATAACCCTTCTTAAATGTGCTTTCCAGGCCAGTGAGGACATTGTTTAAAGTGAATTTAAGTCTTAATGCGTCTTTCTTCTGTTGAATTATACAAAACCAGGTCACAATTTTTGCAAAGAGGCTGAAAAACAATACAGGCAGGTTTTACCAAGTATAAAAGAAATGCAGGGTTTGTTTTTTTTTTAAGATCAGTTTACATCAGGATTACATCAGATTTATTTTTTTCTCAGAAAAATACTGTTTGTTGTCTTTAATCATTTTAAGTTGGTTTTTCCTCTTCAGACTGTATTTGTGTTTCACTCTTAATTTACAGTGGTTTAATTATAGCTGCATTTAATTATATCAACAGGAGAAAGGAGTTCTTAATTTTAGAGTCAAAATTATGCAATTTTAGTGTAAATTATGTTGAGTAAAAGCTAAACTATATTTCCAATCTACATGATTTTTTAAAAACAATAGGGATTTATAGGCAAGTGCAATATAAACATTTCCTTTTTAATATGTTCAATTTAAATAAATTAAATTGATAAACTTTGATACAAAAGAAGGGACCATATACAATAATACTAACCTTTCAATATCATCTTTCTTTGTTTCGTAATACAGTTAATATTTTGAGTCTTTTTCAAATTGGTATATAAAGTATTGGTGAGATTTTATGAGATTTTCCCTTCTAAACATATTTCTTTTCTTATTATTAGAAACTAAAACAAAGAACAGTAACTCAGACTTCACACCACATTCCTGTCTGTTCTTTGTTCATTACAAGTACTGTAGCTCACGACTCACAAAACTGTATACTGACTAATGTCTTTAAAACTAAAACCCAAAAGAGGGAAGCTCAAACCTATTGCTAAAATAAAATAAATACTAAATACTAAGTCAATAAAAATGGAGATTGATAAATAACATCCAAACTCAACATTTGTACCATGCTATACACCCCCTCATTCCAGTGGAATCCTGTAGGGACTGCTGTGGGAAGCCCTTAGATTTCCACAAGAAACATATGGCACCAAAGTGTGTGGTTAATTTTAATTGGAGAATGCAGTATTTTTGTACTGAATCTGTATATGAACTTTGGGCTCATTCAAGGTAAAGACCCACACTATCTTCTTATGGGATGCTTAGCTACACCCTTGATTATATCCAATTATACAGCATGACATGGTCTGATCAACAATCAGATCTTTATGTGGCAAGACCTTCAATGAAATACCCAGCACATTATTTGCATACCAGTCCACAAGAAAGGTCAGCCCTAGCCTCAGGCAGTATTGAAACCGCATTTGATACCATGGCACTGCAAATAGAAAACAGATTAACCACACACAAAAATGCTTCAGTGACAAAAAAATATATAACAATGCTTAATAACAAGACATACTTGATAAAGAAGAATTCCAGATGGATTTTTTTTTAGAAATAAAAGCCTTTTCTGTTTTAGCTTGCAGTTAACAGTCAGAGATCAAACGTAGTGTCTGTGTTGGGTTAACTAAAGGAATTCTTACAAGTATGTGTTTGAATAGGCTGAAGAAAAGGGTAGGGGGGGGGGTGGTAATTAGTTTGAATGAAAAATGAGACTCCTTGACCCTTTTACCCTCAGGATCTGCTGATACCCAAAGCCCCCTGCTTGAGTAATAAAGGGCTTTTACAGTTTTTTTCTGCAGGGAGAGCTACAACCTCACTTTGTAGACTGCATGGCAAGGGCGCAGCTGTCACCAGTCATCCACAGGTTTCATTATCAGCTAATAGGCCCATAACACAGTGCTTTTAGTACCTCTCATTAGCATCACAGCAGTCTGGCATCTCACTCTTCTCCTGGAGATAGCTTCATCTTCCTCGGATCACTTTCAATAACTCAAGGGATTGTACAGTAAAGACTTGGCTTAAATCTTTTTCAGTTCTGACCACAGTGCAAAAGCATTTTTATATGCACATACTGTATTAGAGTACAGTTTTGTTCAACTAAAAAGTCTTGAATAAGATATAAGTGTGCTGACAATGAAACAACTCAGATTTGTTCAGAATATCAAAGGCTATTATTCTAAAAATGCTGTTGGTGAATATGGAAAATAAGTGGAGAAAGAGTAAAAAAATAATCCTGTTACAACCATACATGCTTAACTGTTTTGCCTTAATTTAATGGAATATTCTGATGCTGGCATGGTTCATTTCAGGAAGTAAATTTTAGGAGCATTTTGGGATTTAACAACCTCTAATAAAATAACTAGTTATATAGAGCATGGTGGGAGATTACCTACCTTTTAATTACAATTGGGGAGGTAAGGAATCTTTGCTTTGGTAAGGAATGTGCTTTGACCAAAAAGTTATAATTTTAGTGAAATTATTGCAATGGTTGGGGGTCCGTTCCCCCATCTTGTGGCTTGAAAATGAAACTGTGTGGCTGGCAGGGAGAAAGCTATG